GTCACGGCTCTCTGCCGTGACAGGGGAGGGGCTGGGTTCCCCCCTCCGCCAGCGCTGACTGGCGGAACGGACGGGGGAGGGGGCTGGTACAGCTGGCTCTGCCTCTAGATAGGCAGAGCCAGCTGTCAGTCACGCAGCTGGGCGGATCCCGGCACAATTGCCGGGATCTGCTTCAGCTGCGGAATCTGCGGTATACTGCGGCGTCTCAGTATACCGCAAGCTACAGCTCGCGGTGTACTGAGCCTAGGTTGATGGGAGGCGCTAGTTTCTGTCCTCCCGTTACCCTAAGGAGAACTATGGCGAAAAGCCTTAACCCCATAGATCTCCTTTAACTATTAACAAAAACATATCTTATTTGTGTATCACTTGGCTGTAGATCCTGAAATCATCTCTGAATTGGTGCTGACACTGAGGGGGGCTACTTTAGGGCTGCAACAACTAATCGACATAATCGATTATAATCGATTATTGAAAAAGTTGTCAACTTTTTCAATAATCGATTTTTTTTTTTCTTTTTTACTTCTACTGCTCCAAGCTTGCTCCTGTGATGGACTACAATACAAACTAGAAGTCTCATCACTGGAGCCATTTTTAAAAATGTATTTTATTTTTTATCCGATTAACCGATTAATCGAACTTAATAATCGGCTAACTAATCGATTTTGAAAATAATCGTTAGCTGCAGCTCTAGGCTACTTTGTTGTCCCATGACAGACTACAATCTCAATGCAAATTATTAAACTAATCTTAGCCGAGCGATGCACAAATAAGATACATTTTTGTTAATAGTTAAAAGGTACTTGAATGCATTTTTAAGATTTGACTCCTGAGATTAGTGTCACTTTAAGCTCCAAGCTAACAGCACAACAAACATATATGGGAGCCGTTTTACCCGGTGAAGGATGTAAATGTTTATGTAGCCTGTTTTGTTAGCCAGCCACTCCTGCCAGGCAGCTCAGCTAAATTATCAACCTGCGGAGTGGACAGTGAAATTAGTAGCACCTTGATAAGTCTTCACTCTGCTCTCTCCTCCTATCTGCTTGTTTCCTGAAAACAAAACATGCAATGCAGCAGAGTCTGCTTGGCTCTTAGTGCTGCCCCCTCCCTCTCCCAATTTGAACTCTGGTTGTTTTTATTTTCTGTCTTCCTGGAGTTGAGATTAAACATACTATATTCCCACAGAATACAGTGTACACAAACACGGAATAATATAACATTTTAAGTGCTTGGCTGCAAAAATGTATGGGTCAGAGCAAATCAGGACTACTGCCACAATGGATCTACAATCAAACCCAAATAACTTTCCACCTCACTGTGCTACCAAATTAAAATGGTCCCAAACACCCCATAGGAACATATGAAATAAAAAATATTTCAACCTCCAACCATAAAATAAACAGCACTAAACATTCCCCAATATACAAAGAAACAAGAGAAAAGTGTGGAAGCTCCACCATGAAAGTAGCAAGCAATAAAACCTGGATTGTGAAACTGAAAAGGACTTCATATCCAAGTCCTCTGGTATTTTAGGAAGTCAAGAGTCCCCTTGCTGTAAAGAGGGGAGTCAACTATCAGCTTTCACATTATGTGGTTTATCTGATTATAGGATATCATGGTCAAATATATCAGTGAACATCTCAACTCTAAACCAAATTAAACAAAACATTTTTATCAGTAGTTGTAGAACCTGCAATATTTTTTCCAAAGAATCCAAATTGTCCGTTTCAGAACAATATGAAATGTAAAGTTATCATTACATTTCACAAAACCCGAGGTGGAAGATGCAGCTTTCCAAGGACTGAAGTTCAATAATGACGCTGCCAGTCAATACTGAAACCAAGGAGCTTAGTGAATACACAAACTATGAAAACACTTATTTGCTGCCTGATTAATCAGTTGTTATTACATACAATGAAAAGAGATGCAAATGTCAGAGAAACCCACCTTGTACTGGCACTTGCAAAACATTTTGTTTCATTACACATAAACACAATGAATGCAGGGGCCCACTAGGGTGATCTTTGCCTTGGCCCACTTATGTCTCAAACAGTCCTAAGCAAGATGCAAGCAGATTATTTTAATTATTAATGAATATATGCAAATATAAACCTACCCACATACCTGCAGATCAGTCTGTCTGAGACTTTTTCTGGCAGAGGTCCAATCTTCAACAGACTAGTTCATTTACATTGATAAGGGTGCCCACACACCTTACGATAATCGTGGGAAATCCCGCGATCGTACGATTATCGTAAGGTGTGTGGAAGCCGTGCGACCTCTACTACTGTAAGGTCGCACGACTTTAAACTTATGGACATGTTCGAAAACCCGCCGAGCATCGTACGATGCTTGTGGCATGTCCGTACGATAACAGCCGTACGGGCCGGTGTGCGCAAGCGCACACTGCCCGTTCGGCATTGCGGTCATCGGAAGCCCGCCCCTCAGGCAGATTAAGTACCTTACAACCATCACAAGACAAAAGTCTTGCGATGGTTGTAAGGTGTGTGCCCAGCCTTACAATGATGGGTGGTCATAACTGCCTATGAAAGGACTAGTATACATGGGTGATTGGATTTAAAATACTTTTCCATGTATTCACATTGCCTTTAGTCTTCCATACAAATCAAAGCACAAACTGATCCTTTCTGTGAATACCATCTGTAAGGCCTTGTTCACACCAAATGCAGAGCAGATCTGCACGAGTTTCTGCACACGCAGTGCAGTGGGTGGTGCCGCGTTTTTGATGCGTTCCGGGCCGTTTTTGGGAAAAAAAAAAAAGAATAAACAATTTTAATTTTTTTTTTTTTTAGTTTACAAGGCTTTCAGTGCGTTCTAGTGCGTTTTTGATGCATTTGCAGGCATTCCAGAGCAGGTAAAAATTGTTTTTTCAAGCCACTTTGTGGAAGGAGCCAGGTGAAAAATGATCAGCTGAACAGTGACTGCAGCCAATTAAATGCAGTCACTGTTGCAGCATTCAGCTGGCTATCAGAATAGGGCCCATTCACACCTAAGCTGTTCCTCACTCGCCGATCAGTGTGACAAAACAGCTCAACACCAGGAATCCCATCCATTTATCTGGCCCCTGTGCACATGTCAGTGTTTTGTCACAAGCAGAAATATGCCTGTCGCGCGAATACTACAAGCACTACTTTGGGGGAGATTTCAGCTCGTTTTGTCCCATAGACTTAATAGAAAACGCTTAAAAAATGCACATTGCGATTTTGTTGTGTGCATGTTTTGCCCACTGACATGAATGTGCCAGAATCTGCTCACAAAACGCACGACTTTACATACATGCATAAAACACGTACAAATAAAGATGGGCATACAATGCGCAGGTGTCGTCCTAGGTGTGAATCCAGCCTAACAGCTGGCAGGGGATATTCCTCCATCCATGCTATTCAGTGTGGATGGTGAAATCTAAAGATTTCCTTTGTTCAGCCTGCTGGGCTGAACAAGAAACATTTCCATGTGTATGGCCAGCTTAACATGAGGGATAATAAAAATGTAATAGCAACACGTATGTTCCAATATGACTAAAGCATCTGCCTCCCTGCCCAAATTATACCTGAATGGAGAACGGTCAGGAGAGAAAGTTGCCATAAGCCTATGCATAGCCAAGAGAAAATGTTAAGGCCTTGTTCACACCAAATGCAGAGCAGATCCGGTCAGGTTTCTGCACATGCACGCTAGTCTTTTAGATGCGTTTTGGCTAAAAAAAAAGAATTTTTATTTGTTTTAGTTTAACATGGGCTTTCAGTGCGTTCCAGGCATTTGCATGCATTTTTAGATACAGAGCAGGTAAAATAGGGCCTGCTGCATTATTTTTTTTTTTACCTGCTCTGGATCTGCACGCTGCGGTGTGAACTGGCGCTCAAAATACCATAGGAATACATTGGACGCAGTTTTGATCCGGTCTGCACCTGCTCTGGATCTGCTCCACGCTTGGTGTGAACTAGCCCTAAGTGTGCCTTTTTTGAAGATATTTTGCACATGTAGCAGAAACTTTCAAGTCACATGGCTTGTTCACACAAAATGCAGACCAGATCTGCATGGGATTCTGCACACAGTGCAGTGTGTTATACTGCGTTTTTTGCCACGTTTTTGATGTTTGTTTTTTTTAACGTTTAGAATGGGCTTTTAGTGCGTTTCCAGGACGTTTTCATGTGTTTTTGATGCATTTTAGAGCAGGTAAAATAGGGCCTGCTGCAGTTTATTTGACATGCTCTGGAACTGAACGCTGCTGCGTGAACTAGAGCCCAAAATACCATTGGAATACATTGGACCCGGTCTGTAACTGCTCCGCTCCTGGAACGCGCTTGGTGTGAACAAGCCCTTAAGACATTTATGGTGGATTTCTGCATGCACATTAACATGCATTGCTTTAAAGTAGATGGAATAGCTAAATTAACTTGCATTAACACTGCATCCCCATTGCTCATTTACTTGCTGTGTACTGTTTCTAGGACTCACAGTCTAAAAAACACTGCTCTATGTTAAGTGCCTGTTAGGTCTCGTTCACACCTAGGCGTATTGCATATGCGCGTCTGTCGCACGTTTTTTTACCGCGACTCGCGGAAAAAAAGTCGACAAACGCGCGTTTTCGAAGGCTACTTGGTTGTATGCCAATGGAAACGCGCAACAAAACGGCCCAAAGTAGTACATGTACCTTTTCAGGCGTTGGCCGTTTTGTAGCGCGTTAGGGACGGGCGGAAATACGCCAAGGTGGGAACGAGACCATTGAATACAATGGGATTTATATTTTTGAGCGTTTTGTAGAGCGTTCGTCGAGCGTAGAACGCGCTACAAAACGTTCAGGTGTGAACGAGGGCTTAGGAGGGAAATCTCTCTACACTCCCAACAACGGCTATGCAGTGGAAGCTGATGGGTGACATCACAGGTCTGTGTAATTCAGCCCTGTTGACAAGTCACGCACTGCCTTTTACACTGTGATTTTTTAGAAACAGTATACAGCATGTATATGAGTAGTGGAAAGTTAATTTAGCCTTTCGTTCGACTTTAAGGAAGCCCTTTCATTTTAAATGCACTGCCCACGCACCACCATGCAGGTTTTAACAAATCTGCAGCCTTTTTTTCTCACCTCAGCACACCACAACGCACAGAGGGGTTTACATCTGTGGATTGTGGTATGCTAAAACGAAGTATGTTGAGGTGTGATGAGGTGCCATTCAAAATGAAAGAAAATACAGAAGTTCAATCCCTTTCCCACTTCATCCAAAGCTTCAACAGCTATTTGCTTCTGAAATTGCCAAAAAAAGAGCAAGAACATTTTAAACTAACCACATGCTTGGTAACTGCAGATCCAGAATTAAGCATAATTCTATCTGAGAGAGTAAAAGAGACATGAAAATGTATGCTTGCATAATTATCTGTGTAAGCAACACACAGAAAAGGGAATGGTACAGTCAATCACTGGCTTGGATATAGCATTGTATTAAAATAATTACAAGGTAGTACAGGATTTACCATAGAAAAGGGGTGGAGTGTGCCTCTGTTCAGGACACACTTTAAAATCAAATTACAAAGCAAAAATGTATAGACAATATTATAAAATCATGCCCAAAACTATAATGCCTGCAATTTTACCTCAACATCTCTGTAGTCTCTGGGAAGCAAGGAAGACTACACTACCATTGTTACTGTACAATCTCATAGTTGGCATATGTGACTTTAGTTCCACTTTAAAATCAGAAAGATCGCAACAGGAGGACCTGAGGATCGTAGAGAGTGATATCAAAGTCAGATAAATAGCATAAAGATCTGTGATCTTCACACCTTTCATTTCAGGACCATTTACACCAGATGTGTTGGGGCTGCACTGGCTGTTTTTTTCCAGCACAGCCCCAAACACAGATGGGCACAGTTCACACCACCGCACTAAAAAAAAAGTACTGTAAGCAGATCTTTTTTCAGCGCAGCGGGTACCACGTTGCACCATACTGTGCCCATAGAACTTAATGAAATGTCACTTGACATTTCAATAAAAGTTCTTTTAAAAAAAAGAAACTGTGTGATGTGCCGGGATCAATGTGCTTTGCACAGCAACTGATGTGATTGGAGGTAGCCTTGCCATTTAACAAACACACACAAAAGAAAAAAAAAGTATAAATGTTCTAGAACTGGGAAATAATCTAATGCGTGTGCTGGATTGAAAAGCTCAATTAACCCCCTTCATGACAGGCCTTTTTTTGCACCCATGTTAAAATGAGCTATTGAAGTGCAGATCGCACTTCAATAGCTTATAGCTGGGCTGCAGGAGCCCAGAACTGACAGCCATGGGACCGGAAGTGATGCAATCTGCATCGCTACCGGTCCCATAGAATGGGGAG